TTCTAAATATAAATTCTAATTTATTAAAAAACTAGTCAGTTTCACTTTGATTTTTTTCCACACAAGTAGGGTAACTGATCTGGCTTTCAATTTAGCACCAAAAAAAAATTGGCTCCAAAAATGAAGAAAGGTGTTTTGTTAGCTAGCAGCAGAAGAGTCCATTTGATGTCAAAGAAATCAGAGGAGAAGAGATGGCAGAGCGTAAAAGAATCACTCTCTCTTGCCTTTTTTAACTCCCAGTGGAGCACAAGCCATCAACAACATTACTCCAGCGAAGCCTGTCCTGAGCATCCTTTTCTATCTTTTTCGTAAAAGAATCACGCTGACATTATATACTTGGAAAAAGAGAGATGATACACATAGACTTGACCAAAACTGAGTCGATAGTGCTGTAAAACACCTACTCAAACAAACAAATAAACAAGAAATGATAGACTGGGGTACAGAAAGATCAGAAGTACCCCAAACCACTTAGTATCACATAGATGTGGCTGGGGAAAAAGTCATTTGAATAATTTGCGTAATGTTGAAAGGCTTTTGGGGATTTTTTAATCACTTTTTGGGGGTGAGGAACTCATTCTTCAATTGTATTAGTTCTCAGGCAAGAATATGGCAACAGGCCAAATGGTCACTTTTAAGCACAAGGGGGCTATCACGAAAAATGCTATTTTGAGAAAATCGAAGTCAAGGAAGAGTGGATGAATTATTGGGCCACAGGTACGACAGGAAGGAGGATGTATGGCCACATGGATCGCTAACAACAACAACAACAGAAAATCGAAGGTAAAGTTTTTGCCCCTAGTTCAGTTTCTTTAAAAGACAAGGAGAGTTTTCTCTATAATCAAACAAATACACATACCAATGAAACTAAACTTTTCCTATAGGTAGGGCAATGCCCACTTTTGGAGTAGGTCAAGATTTCTGGAAACCCCCAAAATCTGGGTTAGCCCGCTTGTCCTTAAAAGTGACCCAATGATATCAATCTTTTCTGTTATAAAATACAGATTGCGATCCCACAACAAAAAGAAATCCAGTTGTTTATTAAGTAGACAGAAACAACAACTTTGGACAAGAAATCAAACATCAGTAAGCCAAGGCAAGCAATAAAACTCATGGAAAGAATATAATATGGTCAGCTCTAACATTCATGGTAATAAGACACTGTAAGCATTAGAATCCGAGGTAAGCAAGAGAATTCATTTGTCAATCTTAGCTCTAAGCGTACAAAAATAAAGTGCATTTGTTGCCTGAAGTTTGTATCGTTCACTTCCTATCTTGAGGCATTCAGCATCACAGTTTTGTAACTCTCTCCTACTGCTTGGCAGATTTATTTCTACCTTCTAGATTTTTTTTCATTATTTTATTATAACTTTTAAAAAATTTTGATAAAGTATAAATATCACCTTGAGAGGTCTCAGAAAGAGAGCCTTGATTTTGGTACACAGCCAAAGGCATTGGTTACACACAATCTCATGTTGTAGAAATTTGGAGGACTGTCAAAAAGGGGAGAGAGGAGGAACAGGGGATGGGGAGGGTAGGTAGAGAAGAGAGAAGGTGGATGGAAGTAAGGGCTGAAAAAATATGAGCCGGGGGTGATGGGAAGAGTTATGAAAAAGGGAAGAGGGGAGGAGGGAAGAGGGGAAGAGGGGAGAGAAGAGGAGAGGAGGGAAGTGGGGAGGGGAGGAAATAGGTGAGGGTGGAGGGGGAGAGACGAGGTAAGTACCGGTAGAAGAGGGAGGAATTTAAGAAGGAGAGAACTGTGGGAGAAATGGGACGGGGAAGATATAAGTAAGTGGGTACGGTGAATCACGGTGGAGATTATTGTACAAATAAACATATTATCACTGTACATCTGTCTATATATAAAATATAAACCATAAATGAATGCAATTTATAGAAAGACATCCAAAAACTATCAAATTCATCTCACATCTTTTTGTGAACCGGAACGTCAGTTTTGGAGTAAAAAAAATAATAAAGAAACCATTGAGCTTTTTAATGGCTAAAAATATTCCCAAACCATTCAGAAAATAAAGGGCAAAAAACATCAACATACCACAAAAGGTAACTGATAGACCATAAAAATATTTTCTTACCATTGAGCTAGTTAAAAGCAACAGGGCTTTTTGAATGAGGAAATTAAAAAATTTGTCAAAAATATTGCAGCGATTACTACATGTGTCACGACGCGGTGGAATCAGGCGCTCGTCAATTTTTGGATGGAGTTATTGGTATCATCTTATAGCTCATTCATTTGCCTTGCACTTACAGAAACAAAATACACATTCATCTTGAATAGAAGCCGAGATATTTGTGATTGAAAGAGGTGGGGGTCGCCTGATCTCAGAAGTAAAACTAGTGAGAAAATGGCCGCTAAAGTTTGGTGACTTCCAGAGCTTGAGAGTCCTTGGATATTGGAAATTTACATTTTTTGTGCCTTTGATCGGTGGTTTTCTGTAAAATCGACACAGAAGAATGTTTCTTAAATGGGAATCAAAGGTGATGAGCCCCAAAGAAAAAGATTTTTTTAAAATTTGGCGACTGGCCAGAAAAATGAAGATTTCTTCAATTTCATTCTTTTGACGAGCGTCTGATTTCACCACGATGCCTCACACATACACATACTTTGGGAATCACAGAGTTCAGTTTGTACAGTGGAATAGCAAGCAGCTGAGAAAGCTGAGCAGGTAGTCAAGAACCTTAGAGGAAACACCAGGCCACATGAATAGAACATTTGTAAAAGAAGGCTGTTTGTTGAAAATGTAGTTACCGAAGGATCTCCTCCGACTTGACGTGGTCCTATTAAAGACGGACGCTAAATTTAGAGGTCTCATCTCTTAAGTAGCCTCACGGTATTAATGATAAAGCCAACTTTTTAATATCCTTGTAACTACTGACACATATATTCATTCATCTCAAAATGAAGAGAACGATTTCGAGTACAGTAAATGGAATGCATTAAAGTGAAGAAAAGCTCAAGGCACGAAGCACAAACTGCAAGCTTGATAACACAACAGTACAAGAGAGGACTCTGGACTCGTAGCCCACACATTGAGCTGTCCCCGAGGTTTTATGCAAAAAAAATGTGAAAGTATGCGATTCTGTTAATTTTAACAAAGAATGATAAAGGAAAATAATCAGAAATTATGCATAAAATGATCAAATTTTGCTAAATTATGCGGGGTGCATAAAACCGCGGGGACAGATTGAGGGAGTTCTGTACAGTAGGACCTGTATCTGAGTGGATAGTAGGACCTGTATCTGAGTGTACAGTAGGACCTGTAGCTGAGTGTCCTGTATATCTGACAACAGGCCAAGAAATAATACACAGTTGTGTTGCGAGCACAATCAACACTGACAAATGCAGAAAGATCAGGGCTAGGAAATGTTTTTCCAATACCTTGATGTAAAACACACTGAGTATATAATATATATATATAGATCTATATATATATATATATATATATATATATATATATATATATATATATATATTATATATATATATATATATATATATATATATATATACACATATATATATTGTAGGTCTATTATCAAAACTTGCCCATTGTTCCAGTAAAATTTCTATGCAGCTTTGACAGGACTATTTCGTCCAAAGTGCCTATTTACATAAGTACACCATGGACAAAATAGTCCTGAAGCAATGAGTTCTATCCTGTGCGGGGTGGTCATTCCAAAGAAAATAAGACGCCCTGACAAGACAACATTAGGTGTGAGCTGTGAGCTTAGAGGTGAAAGACAAAAAAACCTGCCCTTCCTTCATTCCTGAGTATGACATATTATTTTATACAAATTGTAAAAAAATAGATGAAATATTACATAGACAAAACATACAGAAGTTCCAGAACTTTCTGCATCGTGATCAAAATGAAACGCAGGCATCACGTAGGAAAAGTGGGACACAGACACAAACTATTATTTATATACCACAAAGAAGTTTTGAGGAGCTCACTTAGTCTCCCAAACTCAAAAAGAAAGTTGTGTAAAGAAGCATCGTTACATATGTAAAATTCAGTGTTTAATCAGGACAATTAAGACACATTTCCCTCTAGAAAGTTACCACAACTCTTGAGTTTACGTAGTTTCATCTTTTCAAGATATTTTCATCGATATGACATTTAAGAAAAGTATAGACTTCTTAAAAACTGAGAGAGAGAGGGGGGAGATTGGCGGGGAGAAAGGAAGAGACAAAAGGAGGAGAAACAAGAAAAATAGATCCGGGAATTTTCTCCCAAATGTACGAGTACATTCTAATCCACTGCCTCAACTGTTACAGTCACGGTATTTCTCGACTCAAATCTTCTTCTTTTGTCCACACAAAATCTTTTTGCCACTGCCACAAAAGATACCGACGAGCCACCATTTGTGAGGCGTGCTGACAAAATGAGTTACTTCTCGCAAACCACAAATGGATATATTTAAGAAAAATTGACACGAAGGTCAAATTTGTAGAATTTTTATTAATGCCATATTCTTTAACTATAATACGCCTTTTATTATTTCATACTTATAAATTGTAAAAGCTTCACCTATAAGCATGATGTATCTATTTCCATAAGGCTTAAATCCGAGAAGTAACTCATTTTGTCAGCACATTTCACATTTGTGTCCTGGCCCTGACGTGGTGGAATCAGGCACTCATCAATTTGGGGGCATATTGGGGTAACTGATGTCATCTCAAAGACTTTTCATTTTCCTTGCTTTCGGTGAAAAAAATACCCATCTGTGTTGAACAGAAGTTGAAATATTTGCGATTGAAAGAAGTGAGGGTCGCCTGGTTTCAGAGGTGAGATTAGCGAGAAAATGGCAGCCAAAGTTTTGTAATTTTCATAGCCTGAGAGTCATTGGAAACTGAAAATTGACATTTTTTGTGCCTTTACTCAATGTTTTTCAGTAAAATCCACACAGAAATGTGTTTTCAAATGGATAAAAAAGGTGTTGAGCCAAAAAAAAAGAAAATTAGACAAAAATTGTCCAACGGTAAATATAATGCCAATTTATTTGATCTCATTATTTTGACGAGCGCCTGATTTCACCACGATGCCTCACATTTCCTCAATCCACTTTCTTCGTCACCACGTAGAACTTGTACTGCAGCACCGTCAGCACTCCCCATAAAATGGCTGACAGCAGGAAGAACACAAATGTGCCGGAGACGAGAGTCGGCTCAAATTCGATTGGTCCTCGCACGTAGAGCAGTAGTCCGACAACGATGGCACATCTGAGACACTCAGCGGCACAACTCCAGCGCCTTGAGGAGAGAGACGAGACAGAGAGAGAGTTTTTTAGTTTTAGTAAGAGTTTTACGGCACTTGCAATGCAATCAGGTCATATAGGTGCCGAAGATTAGAGGTGTTACAAGAGAGCAACAAACACAAAAAAGGAGGAGAGATTAGGACGACAGATAGTTAAAGGGAAAAAAAGAGAAAACCACACCAGAGCACCCGCCAACCACCCAGAGAGAGAGAGGGTGGTCAAAAACTAGCATGTGTGAAAGCTAGCACAAAGATACATGAATGATAGGCCTAAGTTTTTCAAAAGATGATGTTTAGGGGCTGCAGGGCGGTTAAAAGTTAAATTATAAAAGTTGCCTCATCAGTTTTCAACTCTGTGTCTTAATTTATTCAAAAGATTTAACAAGACATCGTTATAAACTGGTAGGTTTATCTGAAATTCATTTACATATAAAAGAAACTTTTTTCCAGAAATGTTCACTTTGTCTAAAGATTTTAAAACATTTTTAAAAGGACATAATGACACAGAGCATTCTTTCCACTTACTTAGAAAACCTGTAATCTAGATATTGAAAATGTGACAAAATTTGACAGACACTTTTATCATAATCATCATAAAAGAATCAATAAAAAATGAAGAAGATGAAGAAGAAGAAGAGGAACGGATTGCATTTATCTCTCCTAGGAAATAGACTCATAATAATAACAATTTTTCATCCCATCAGACCCCAAAACATTCAGAAACATTTTGAGCTTCCTTGGAAGCTTTAAACCCTATCCGTATGTTGTGTTGTACTATCGTATCCATACGACGTGGGGAACTCTGTGCCACCACTTAACCCTATCCGTACGTCGTGTTTTACCATCGTATCCATACGACGTGGGGAACTCTGCGCCACCACCTTCCAAACAAGAAATTTACTCGTTAATCCGATCCGTACGCTTTGCATAGCAGTCAGTCAAAACGATTTTTTGAGAAATACTGAAAGTTTCAATGAGATCTTTGTACTAGAAGTATTCTAAAATGTGAGGAATACAACCCCGAGGGCACAAAATGACAGCAGGGCGTACGGATAGGGTTAATAAAGGCACAGTGTCTTACTTGTGGTCAAACAGGGCTCCGAAGGACGTCAGGGAAAAGATGATGAAGGCCACACACCCAAGGCTGGTAGCTGCTGATAGGTGCTGTAAAAAAAAATGTTTTAGTTATAGTTATAGTTATAGTAAGAGTTTTACAGCACTTGCAACACAATAAGGTCATATAAGTGCCGAAGATTAGAGGTGTTACAAGAGAGTAACAAACACAAAAAAGAAGGAGGAGAGATAAGGATGATAGATGTATGATAGGAAAGAAGACGCAAACCACACCAGAGCACCCGCCAACCACCCACAAAAAATCTTTAAAACCCAAATAACTCAAGTGAAAAAAACAAATAAAACAAAACACAGGGTAACTTTCATCGAGAAGAAGATATTACCTGTATTACCTGTCCTGGGCAACAACGTCATTGCACACCGGACAGGTCCATAAGTGCTCAGTTCCTGCCAGCACCAAAGCCCGCAGG